TGGAAACATTAAAATTAACATAAAATTGTACAAAACACTACACTAAAACGAGGACAAACAGTTTAAAATAACTTCTACGCTACATTCTCTGTCAGTATCTGGAGGGATGACAAAATATTCAGATGAAAAATTTCAATGATCGTCGTGTTAACCAAGAAAGAAATCACAAACTTTCCGAAGTGGAACAGAGAGGTCGTTGTACAAGATGTTATAAAAATAATAGTGCTAGAAATGGACGTAACTTTGCTATAAAAGAAACAAAACGTGTTAAAACATCTTGTCTAGCATGCAGTGATAAGTTTTTGTGTACCAACTGCTTTTTTGACACTCATTACTGTCAAGCAAAAAATGAACATTGTGTCCAAAAATGGTACACATAGTTTCTAAGAAGATAATTACGCATTTATTTCTGCCACAAACTGTGTGTACCATTTTTTGACACGGCCCTTACACATGATTTTTTTTCAAAAAAATACCTAAATGTTGATATTTACATGTTTTTAGTATTAAATATTGTGAATTTTACCAAAATATAGTTTCAGTTTTTGACAAAAAACTTCAAATTTATAGACAGTAGCCAAAGTGTTAAATTCGATTTCGTCAGGTAGAAATCGTATGATTTTTTTTCTTGTTATTAGATGGCGTAGTTACGTCCGTATATAGTTATTTCGAAAACTATTATCTACGACGAGAATAGATTTTGTTTCGATTCAGAGTAGTGGCTATAGCGCTCTGAGGAGACATAAAGATGTCGAAATACGTATAAGCGGTTTGCCGCTGATCTGTATCAAAACAAAAATCTAGTACCGTCATTATGTTTTATTTCTTTACTCCGTTTGGAGTACCAGAAATTGAATTCACTATGAATTTTGACCATAATGAACGGCATGTGGAATGCAATTTTAGATTCCCTTGCCGGGTAAAATTTTAATTCGATTCCGCCAGGTAGAAATTGTATGATTTATTTTCTTAATTATTGTTTCATTTTTATGATTGTTAAAAAAAACAGCTAAAGTAAAATCAGCTGTACGTCACCATGGATTTGGTATCAGCTACCCCTTAAATATCTTCGAAAACCTGTTTAAGATTTTTTTTGCTCATTTTTGTCTTTTCTGGCCTACTTAGCAAACGTACATCCAATTCTTGAGATTTATAAAGGATTCAAAACGTTTGAATTAGAGTGATCAGGATTTGTTATACCTCATTGATTTTGTTCGAATTTTAATCTATTTCACATTTTTATTTTTTGTTGGCTATTTTTTGTGTAATAGTGGTCTTTCCTGTTATATTTTTAAGTATATTACGTCTGGTTTTGTCGTTTATCACGTCTTTACATACATAATACTTGGAATAAGTACATATCGAAAACAGATAGAGCTGAGTAGTAAATATTAAATTGAAAAACAAATTTGGGTTTTAATTTTCAAACATCTACAGGAAAACAAACAGAATCTATGATGTGGAATGCTGTAACCACAACAAACAAGTATCAAGACGATCTCTAAGATTTACACCCCGGAAGTATGACATTAAAGGCAAGAGAAGTAAAATTAAATTTGGAAATCAATATTAATATTCATAACCTAATATTGTAGGATAAAACGCTACGATATAATAAATTCACGTATTTAGACGTTTCACAAAATATTAAGGTTGAGGGAACATAATCGATGGGAGTTACTTAATCAATATTTCAGACTCGGTCCGGAATCAAGGAGAAACTAAATAATTAGAATAGTCCAGTAATAAAACATTAGGGCTAAGCTTAGGTTGTACGAATTTTAAATGTGACCGTAAACTTACAAATTGTTATACATTTTGTTAACATCATATCAGGTACTGTCATTTGTTCACAATTAGTAAATGTAATAATTTCGAAATCATTTTCAATACCAAACAATATAAATTCTCACTTACTAGGTGGAATATCCCCCAGTGATACAACGAATAGAATAATTCGAAATCAAATTGACCTTGTCCTCAATAGACAAAGATTTCGAAATTCTTTACTGTTCTAAATGGAAATGGAACGAATCATGCTTGGAATATCACTAAGAGACAAGATTAGAAACACCGAGATAAGACGTAGAACAAAGATTAGGGATATTGTGGAAGAAATTACAAAAATGAAATGACGCTGGGCAGGTCACGTAGCCCGATATAATGACAACAGGTGGACACGGAGAATTCTAGAATGGAGACCAAGGACGACAATAAGAAGCATGGGAAGACCTCAAAAAAGATGGGTAGATGACATAAGAGCAGTGGCAGGCAAACAGTGGATTAGATTGGCGCAAGATAGAGAAAGCTGGAAGCAATTGGGAGAGACCTACATTCAGAAGTGGATGGAAAATGGTTTACAAAGAAGAGAAGAATACTGTCTGCTAAAACTTACCCTGGAGCAGACATCGGTTCAGACCATAACCCCATAGTAGTCACATTACGAACCAAATTGAAACTGGTTAAAAAACCCACACAAATTAGAATTTATATTAAGAGATTAAGGGAACCACAAACAAAGAAACAAACTGTAAAAACTCTTAGTGAAAATCTACGTAATGCCCAAAAACTGAATAAAAGTAGCTATAACATAGATCAGAAATGGGAAAATATAAAAGTAGCAATAATTAAAAAGAGAATAGAAGACGCTAAGAAGAGCTTACATGAGCAGTGCCAAAAACTAGAAGAAATTGAGAAAAAATATGACTTTTTTAACATGCATAAAATAATTAGAGATTTAACAGGAATGAGAAAAACCCTTCAAACTAGGCAACTAAGAGATGAAAGTGGTGCACTTATAACAGATATAAACCAAAAAATGCAGAGATGGAGACAATATATAGCACAACTTTTTGAAGACAAAGACAGAACAGAAGCACCAAAAAAATTTAAGGTTGATACTAGGCCTGACATTATACGAGAAGAAATTGAATATGCAATGAAACAAGCTAAATGTGGTAAATCTCCCGCGCCCGTTCCTATCGAATTACTCAAAATTTGTAAATACTGAATCTATTGATCTTCTTTTGGATTTATTCAATACCGTATATAGAACAGGTATAATACCTAAAGAATGGCTCCAATCAACATTCATACTGCTTCCCAAAACAGCCAATGCAAAGGAGTGCAATGAACATCGCACCATAGCCTTAATGAGTCATGTCTTGAAATTGTTTTTAAAAGTAATGATATATATCAGGAAGTATATGCCTGTTGAGAAGGCATTTGAGATGCAGCATAATTGGCTTAAAGAAATTTTATTAAATAAAAACATGGACTATAGAGACATTAGAATCATATGTAACCTCTATTTGAGCCAAACAGTAAAAGTGAAAGTTGAAAATGAACTGACCGGGGATATCCAGATTCGCCGTGGGGTCCGCCAAGGGTGTGTTATATCACCCTTGTTATTCAATTTATATAGTGAAGCCATCTCAGAATTAGCGCTTGCCGAGGTCAGTGAGGGCCTTATAATAAACAGAGAGCCACTTAATAATATAAGATATGCTGACGACACCGTCCTTCTGGCAGGAACTCTAGAAGAACTGCAACACCTTACTGAATAACTAAATATATATTGCAACGATTATGGACTAAAAACAAATTTGAGGAAAACCAAGTTCATGGTATTTCTTCTAAGTCGTTAACCTGATGCAGGTATCGTGATATCATGAAGCTGTTAGGTAATTTTTCCAATGTTCCTCCACGTTTTTCTATCTTCTGCCAATCTAGCACATTCTGACAATGGAGCGCCAATGGTAGCAACAATATGGTCCGTGTATCGTGTAGGAGATCTACCTCTACTTCTTTTGCCTTCTACTTTTCCCTGGATGGTAAGTTTTTCAAGACCATTTCTTCGAAGCACATGTCCAAAATAGCTTATTATCTGTTCTGTTATTTGTGTTCTTTTCTTTATGTTTAGCTGGACCAGTATGGATTCATTTGTTCTTCGGGCCACCCATGGTATTCTCAGCATTCGTCTCCAGCAGTACATCTCAAATACATCTATGTTCTTTTTGTCTTTCTCAGTAAGGGTCCAGCATTCCGATGCATAAGTAAAAACTGGAAAAACTAGACTTCTTACTAGTCTCATTTTTGTATCGGTAGTAATTTCATGGCTTTTCCAAATTTTTGTTAATTTTGCCATAGCGCTTTTTGCGATTGCTGACCGCCGCTTTATTTCTTCAGTACAGCCTCCTTTGTTGGTTATTAATGAGCCCAGATACACAAATTTATCTACAACAGCGATATTGTTTATCCTAACCAGATGATTTTGTTTGTTCTTAGCTCTGTCAATTATCATGATTCTCGTTTTATCCCTGTTTATTTTAAGGCCCATCGTTAAGCTTACGTCTTCTATCCGTTGTAGCAGGTGAATCAATTCAGTTTCAGAACTAGCGAGGATAGTAGTATCATCTGCATATCTCAAGTTGCAAATCTTCTTCCCGCCAATGGTGATGCCACCGTTCCAGTTCTCAGTAGCTTTCCGCATTATCCATTCACCATAGATGTTAAATAAAATTGGGCTTAGTATGCAGCCTTGTCTCACGCCCTTTGTGACCCTGAAACTGTCAGTTAGTTCCCCATTTATTCTAACTCTGGCATAATTGTTATTGTATTTACAAAAGCACAAAACATCAAAGTTAAGCTAGTACTAGATAATACAGAAAATGAACAAATATCTTCATACAAATACCTTGAAGCATTCATTGGATGGTCAATATTTAACAGAATGAGAAAACTTTTTTTGTAATCGTGATATTAATATATCGCTGCGGATAAGAATGCTCGATGCTATATTTTCTTTACCCTTTTGTATCGGGCTGAAGCTTGGACACTTAAAAAATTCAACAGTAAAATCCTAGAATCATTCAAAGTGTGGTGTTACCGACGTAATTTGAAAATATCATGGTTGGATCGCAAAAAAAAACGAACAAGTCGAACAACTACGAAAACAATGCAAATTTTTAAAATCCATAAAAAACAGGAAATTGGAATACTTGGGGCACATCATGAGAGGTGAAAAATACGAACTACTAATGAATATAATGCAGGGTAAAATCAAAGGCAGAAGCGTAGGAAGACATAAAATCTCGTGGCTACGCAATCTCCGTAAATGGTTTGGATGCAGTTCAATTGAACTATTCAGGCGCGTAATCAACAAAGTTATTATTGCCAGAATTATTTCCAATCTCCGATAGGAGCGGAACTTAAAGAAGAAGAGAAAAGGGTGGAATATTTATTCTGAAACATTTCTTATATGTTTGGCATGTATTTCCGCATGTATTTCCATTTTATAAAAAGTGGTCAATTTTAATGCCAACATCATCCAAATTAACGCTCCGACGTCAGACAAGTTAGAAGAGGACATCAAGCAGTTCTACGCACTTGTGTAGAAGGCATTTAAATATATTATAAAAACGAGCTTAACATTATCATGGGTGATTTTAATCTTAATATTAATGGGTGATTTTAAGTTAGCAAAAGCAGAATAGTAGACATCGTTGGAGAAGAGTAATTGGTGGACCTGTTTGTAAATACATCGTCGGTGCAATGCCACACCCACGAATGTGCAAAATGAGCGTTAGGAGATATTCACCTTTTAAACTTTCAATTAGTTGACAAAATTCAGGATTTAATGCGACATTTTTTTTGTACTTTTAATATCAGATGTTATGGTTATATTTTAGAAATATTATCAGAGATTTTCGAAAATATCCATTATTTTTCGGAAAAAGTTACATTCGTGATTGCAGCATTATAGTTTTTGTAGAAAATGCATATACGTGAAATTATATCAACCTTTATTATGGTAAAAGTGGAACAAAAACTACCTTCTAATAATGAAAAATAACAATAAAAAAGATAGAAGTAATAACATACTTAGTAAAAGACTTCATATTTTAGAATAATTTAATTCTCGTCTGAATCCTCGCTTTCATTTGGCTCCGGTAAATTGTCCTTTATATTTTTATCGGCATTTATAGAATTATAAAAGTTTTGATAGTTCTTTGAAATTGTAAAATCATTACACATTTTCTGCAGATCTTTATATTTAGCAATCGCAATTGGCAACTGCTTATCATAAGCTTTCTTCAAGTCAACGTTTTTGGGTCGACCACGACTTTTCATGCAGTTTACTTGTTGAAATTCATCTCCAAATTTTTTTATAGGACATTGTCACCATGGCATCGGTTTTAATGTATCGTAACCAGCAAACTTGTTGCCAAGGAATTTGGTTCAATATATAGTTCTGTATTCCAAAGGACTTGAAATCAAAGACGTCATCAAACATTATGAATCTGACTTCAAATGGACGTGGATGTGTTCGAGCATTTCTTATTATATGAGCCCAACCTTCTGGTGAATAAACAGGGACATATTTTGATTTTTGTTCGATTTTCGAGTGGAGTGAATCACACTCCATCTCGGTATGCCCTATTTCAAAAACTTGTGATCAATCGTTTTTAAATTAGTATGATCCGTAAGAAGTTTCAAGCACATAGCAGCAAAATGTGAATTTCTTTGTTGCCCGCCACACCCGTCCGACATCATTCGAACCTCAGTAATGGTTGGTTAATTGATAATGTAATTGTAAATACACGAGGATATCTCGTTTGACCCCCTTTTTCCTTGGGTTTCGTCCTAAAGGTAGCAGATTCCATCCTGATTTCCTAAGTTGTAGAGAGTCAGGTTGTAAATAGCCAATTTTCGTAGGTAAAATATTGTCCTGTTGGACCCTTTGGAGTCGTAAGCACTGCTTTGAGGTCAAAGTTAAACGATAGTACCTTTAAATTATTCTTTGAAATTTCTTTGTATTCGTCTCTAGCCTCACAAGCTTCCTTAGCATGTGTTCGTGATGAGCCTGTTCGTGTGTTATTTTTCCTCCTCTGTCAAATTCGTATATTTTAAGCACTTTTTACAGTGGTATTTTTTGATTTTATGGAACCCCAAGTGAGCACTTTAATTTGTACAATTTGTGCATAATAGAGACGTTTAGTGCAGAATCCAAATACCTTTTGGTACTAGAGACCCTATAGTAATGCGACTCTACCGCTGAAAATGATACAATGTGCTCACGAATCAGCAGTTCATCATCATCTTTCAATTTATTATGTGGGACATGTTTTCCGCGATTTTCTTTTTCAACTATGCCGCTAGAAGAAAGTTTTGCCACAGCTCCGCGCATAAATGCATCTGTTACATTCAGTGTAGCCATAAAAAAAGGCCCGGCATACTTGCCTTTTTTCCCCATTGACAGTAAACGAGTAATTCATGGTATACGTTCTTCTTGAATTTTCAATGTTTCTAGTGATTCTCTTTTTCTTTTGTTTATCAATATGACTATTTAAGAAAACTCGTTGATCATCCACCGAAATCATTTGGTGGAATTCATTATAAATTTTGCGTCGGTGTTCCTCGTTGATTAAAGTATCACATTTGTGGTTTGCTTTACTAGAACACGGGGAAAGCAACATGGGACGTGCTGGTCTCCCTTTACTTCTAGAACAAACACAAGACTCTCCTTTTAATCTTTTTTGTTTTCTTATGTTTTTCTTTCAAGCGTTTATGTTTTTTTATCAAAACTGAGAAATGTCTAGTAGACACAATACAACGAACGTAAACTAAATCCAAAATTCACACCGCCACAAACACGTAAGTGTCACTTTCGCGATACGCACGTCGTAGTTTAACTTAATCACTACTCTGCCACAAACACGAAGTGGTACATAAGCGATGCACCCATTGCAAAAAATCAATACAGACTGACTTTCGTGAAAGTGCGCATTTCATTCCCACCATCTCCTAGTCTTCAATTACATTCGTGGTTGCGGCGGAGTGTAGGAATGAATGGGACATTATTAGTGGTGTACTTAGGTGGAAAATGAAAATTTTGCACATTCGTGGGTGTGGCATTGCACCTACGACATGTTTGCAATTTACCGTCGATTTAAGTGAAATAATCGCTAAATTAAAACTTTTTAATAATTATGTTTTAAAAGTTCAGTAATACAAAACAATGAGAAACGATTTGTGAGTAAAATTTTTGATATTTACTGCATCTAAATGACCTTTTTAATCCTATTTTGATTTTACAAACCAAATCCACTTAGTTTAATAATAATCACCTATCCCAAAAAACTTGTTCGGTGATTAGTGAACTCTAACAAAAAGGCAGGATCGGCCTTATAAATAAGTATTTTTTGGAAAATAATCATATGGATCAAAATAACCTAAGACATTTTAATATTACTAATATAATGTCACAACCAACGTCTAAAAATCTTCTTCCACAAACATTCACCTCGACCTAGAGAACACTGATAATTTCAATTTAAATAATAGGAATAGCTCTAACGCATCTTATGCAAGCACTGTTTCCCAAAATATCGACAAATATCCAAGTAAGGATGCAAGGATCAAGGAATTATCTTCAGCTCTATTCAGGGTGCAAGACTTCAGGACCCAACTGAGACCTCTGGTAAAACCAAAAAACATCATTTTCTGTAGCAGACATTTACACAACAGAATATGTATTTATCTAAAAAAATAAATCACTAGTTGATGAGTTCTTAAATAAACATAGTCAGATTGTTAAAGATAATAAAATCATCAAAGGCAGACGTCTAAATTTACAAGCAGATAGACAAGTAGTATCAAATGTACGCCCAACGATCCCACAAGAATCTCTTGTAATCTTACTAGCAAATATTGATACATAACACACATAACATTCAGATAACATTATCTCAACCCGCCGAAACATCTTCTAATGACTTATACTTTTAGACAATAAATCATATTTTATTTTTGTCATTTTGTCGAAAATTGACTTTCAACGCTATCTCCTTTAATGCAGACTGCCGAATATGAGTGCAGAACTATGCTATCGTCCTTCCACTCCTTCTCCACCCAATGACAATTTTCTATACTATCCCAAGTATGCACATCGTATTAATTCTCAGTGCAGAAGTAACTTATATGGGTGATATATATTAAGTCCTTATTTAGTTTGGACATGGACTAGTTCTGCTTTCAATTTTCGAAATATAATCCTATAAGTATTAATTTATTGCAGACATAGGTTAGTTCTGCATTGTATCGAAATAAAAAAATCTATCATCATCAATCAGCTAATCGCGTCCACTGCTGGACATATGCCTCCCTCAGTTCTTTACAGTGTTCTCTATACTAGGCCGCTTGTAGCCAGTTTCCCACTACACGTTTTATATCATCGGTCCATCTAGTCGGTGGTCGTCCTCGGCTTCTTTTATAGTTTCTGGGCCTCCATTCCATAATACGTCTTGTCCACCGTCCATCTTGTGCTCTGGCTAAATGCCCTGCCCAGTTCCACTTAAGCGTCGTGGTTCTTTCGATGACGTCTTGAACTCCTAATCTTTGCCTGATTTGTTGGTTATATTTCATGTGTTTGATTGTCTCTGCTTATTTTGATTTCGTGTCCTAGATATTTGTAAGTGTCTGTTTGTTGTATGGTATTATTGTCAATAGTTATATTTCCACTCATTACAAGATTTGTTATAAGTTTAGTTTTCTCAAAGTTTATCTTTAATCGTGCTCTTTCAGACAGACTTTTAACAGACAGACTTAAGCGAATGCATCATAAAAACTGTATCATGTAAGTTATCTGCGATTAATACAACATCATCTGCAAACCTTAGGTGATTTACCTAATCTTTCTCCATCTATATTAATGCCCATATCGTGCCATTGAGTGCTCTTAAATATTGACACTAGAGCTGCCGTGAACAATTTTGGTGAAATATTGTCTCCTTGTCTAACTCCTTGACCTAAGCTGAATTTTTCTGTGTCTTCGTGTAGTCGTATGCTTGATGTAGCGTTCTCGTAGATGTTTTTGATTAGTGTCGTGTACTTGTAATCTATTCGGCTTTGATTTAGGGCTTCCTGTATTGTTTCAAACTTTACAGAATTAAAAGCCTTCTCGTAATCGACAAATGCAAGAACCAGTGGTATGTTGTACTC